TTCTGGTCTGAAATGTCACCAACAGTTTTTTTTTTTTTTTTTTTTTTTTTTTAAATGAGGCAGTCTTGCTCTGTCGCCAAGGCTGGGGTGCAATGGCTCACTGCAAACCCCCGCCTCCTGGGTTCAAGTGATTCTCCTGCCTCAGCCTCCTGAGTAGCTGGGATTACAGGCGTGCACCACCACACCCAGCTAGTTTTTGTATTTTTAGTAGAGACAGGGTTTCACCATGTTGGCCAGGCTGGTCTCAAACTCCTGACCTCAAGTGATCCACCTGCCTCAGCCTCCGAAAGTGCTGGGATTACAGGCATGAGCCACTGTGCCCAGTCAATAGTTCTTTTTTTAAAATGAGCTTTTCTATCTCACAAACGGTGGTGAAGGTGTCAAAATTTTCACAGTATTTCTGGAGCATTTACTGGATAGGATGAGATCTATCTGCTTCTATCTTCTGTGGGAAAAGAAGGGGCAGAGAAATACACTTGGCTAGAAAGAAAGGGGACCTGCTATGCCCACTAACATAAAAGGTAGGTGCTAAAAAAATTGGCTTCTGAATTCAGTAAAACTTCTTATATACTGGCAACGTTGAAGGAGAATGATGGAAAGTTCGAATTTTACTCAGATAAATTTTGAGTTAGCAATATCCTCACAGCCCTTTTTAATCTTCAAAAGAAAAAGAAAATTAAGGTCTTATGGAACAATTAGGTCTTCCATAGAAGGAAAACAAAACAGAAAAACAAATTTTAAAAAAACACCCACACCTAGAGAAACAAAAATCTTTCATAATTTTTTGACTGGACTTTGGAAAAGTTTTCCATGCTCAGCCTGGTGTAGCTCTTCTGAGGTGGTATATAAATAGCCCAGGGGTCTGCAAGTTGCTCCCTTATGCTAGAAAATGCAGAGGGCTTTTGGGCCAGGAGATGATTTCAGTAATGAACAGTGAAAGCTGGAGCTGATTGAAAGGAATAGCATAAGAAATTCTCACAATAGACAATGCAAGAGTCCCCTGGAGGGCTTATATAAATGCAGATTGCTGGGCCCCACTTGGAGTTTGTTTCTGTTTGTCTGAGGGGGGCCCCCAAAACGTGCATTTCTCCAAGTTCCCAAATGATGTTTAAGCTGTTAGTCCAGGGTTCATACATTGAGAACCTCACAAATTTTTTTTTAGATTGAGTCTTGCTCTTTTGCCCAGGTTGGAGTGCAGTGCTGCGATCTTAACTCACTGCAACCTCCACCTCCTGAATTAAAGCGATTCTAATGCCTCAGCCTCCCGAGACATGGCTGGGACTACAGGTGTGCGACACCAGGCCTGGCTAATTTTTGTACTTTTTTTTTTGAGATGGAGTCTCACTCTGTTATCCAGGGTGTAGTGCAGTGGCTTGAGCTCAGCTCACTGCAACCTCTGCCACCCTGGTTTAAGCAAGTCTCCTGCCTCAGCCTCCTGAGTTGCTGGGATTATACAGGCTCCTGACACCATGCCTGGCTAAGTTTTGTATTTTTAGTAGAGATGGGGTTTCACCATCTTGACCAGGCTGATCTTGAACACCTGACCTCGTGATCCACCCACCTTGGCCTCCCAAAGTGTGAGCCACTGCACCCAGCCTAATTTTTACATTTTTAGTAGAGACAGTGTTTCACCAAGTTGTCCAGGCTAGTCTGGAACTCTGACCTTAAGTGATCCGCCTGCTTCAGCTTCCCAAAGTGTTGGGATTACAGACGTGAGCCAGTGTGCCTGGCCACAAATATTTTTGAGACATACTTTTCTGAGCTTCTTCTAATCTCAAGTAATAAGGTCTCATCATGAAGTCCCAGAAGCTTCTGTCACCCCAGAAGATACAGGTTCTGTCATTAGCAGCTAACAACACAGCATGGGTCCTAACACTGGACTGGGATATTCATTTCAGACAAATCCACTTCCTTATCTATAAAATGGGTTAAGACCTACTTCCAAAGGCTTGTGAAAAAGTAAGTTTTAGTACACATAGCAGTGGTCAGATTCAATACTTGTAATCGTTCCCTACTTCCTTTATTAGAATTACTAACATCCAGGCTGGGTGTGGTGGTTCATGCCTATAATCCCAGCACTTTGGGAGGCCAAGATGGGTGGATCACTTGAGGTCAGGAGTTCGAAATCAGCCTGGCCAACATGGCAAAACCCTGTCTTTACTCAAAAATACAAAAGTTAGCTGGGCATGGTGGCGAGTGCCTATAATCCTAGCTACTCAGGAGGCTGAGGCAGAAGAATTGCTTGAACCCAGGAGGCAGAGGTTGTGGTGAGCTGAGATCTCGCCACTGCACTCCAGCCTGAGTGAGAGACTCTGTCTCAAAAAATTAAGAATATCCTAACACCTGTTGGAATCTATTCATGGGAACTACAGATTAAGTTTATGTCAATAGTAAGACAGAGATGGGAATTTGAAAGGCCATACCCTCACGAAAAGTATGCCAGGGAAATTCCATGTTCTGATTTCTCTCCTTTAGGACTGTCAATGGCAGGATACCAGCTTTGGTCACCATGGACCCCACTGGACGAGAGCTTCCAATGGCTGCGGCACACAACACCTACACCTTCCTCCAAGCACCCCTTTAGGGCCTCCCCCTGCTTCCCACACACACCGTCTGACCTAGAAGTGCAGCTGTGCTTTCAAGAGGTCACTCTAGTCCTAGACAGTCTGGAATCTGGATTGAGTCCCAAGTTACCCTGCCACACATCAGAGTTGCGAAACATGAACAACAAAGGACTGGTCAGGAAGCCCCAGCCCATACGCCTCAGTGGAGTAGATTCTGTCTTTGGCAGGGTTATCACAGCTCAGCCACCAAAGTGGACTGGGACTTTCAGAGTTTCAGACAAGTCAGCCTTTTGTAAAATCATTAGCAGGGAGCACCAGTGGCCCATTGGACTTAAGGAACCTCAAATTCAGATGACAGTGACTATGTGCAAACAGATGCTGCGCTCTATCCTCTTGCTGTATGCAACTTACAAAAAGTGTACCTTTGCCTTGCAGCACTCCAAGTAAAGGGTCCTCATTTGATCCCCATTTCTTCATACCATGCCCTTTGGTATGTATGCACCTGAAGCTTACAGAACCCTGTCCACATAAATGAAACTGTGACACTGCCCCAGCTGTCTTGCTTTTGTCGGGCAGTGGTGATTCAGGAGCCCCTTATATCCCTTCCCCTCCAAAAAAGGACCAATGATACAGAACAAGGGAGAAAATTTCCATTATAAAGTTGAACGATTTTGAGTCAAACTAGCATTGACATGTACATGTGATAACCATTAAAGAAATAATATTAACCAATGAGCCTAGTGTGAACTCATGTAAACACCTGAGACCACAGTGACTTGGCGGGGAAAGGGGTGCTGAGGAGAAAGATGTATGGATTTCTATGTACCAGAGGATGTAAAAAAAAAATCTATATATAGGTCAAGGATTCGTTTAAAAACAACCTCCCGGCTGGGCACAGTGGCTTACTCCTGTAATCCTAGCACTTTAGGAGGCCGAGGAGGGCAGATCACCTGAGCTCAGGAGTTCAAGACCAGCCTGGCCAACATGGTGAAACTCTGCCTCTACTAAAAATATAAAGATTAGCAGGGTGTGCTGGCAGGCGCCTGTAATCCCAGATACTTGGGAGCCTGAGGTAGAAGAATCGCTTGAACCTGGGAGGTGGAGGTTGCAGTGAGCCGAGATCATGCCATTGCACTCCAGCCTGGGCAACAGAGCAAGACTCCATTTCAAAAAACCAAACCAAACCAAACCAAAAACCAACCAACCAAAAAACCTCCCTCCACCAAAACAATAAAAATTAAAAACAAACAAACAAAAAACTCCTAACCAACCACACCCTAATACCACTGGATACTGGAGTATACAAAGGTGGGTAGAAATACTGATATTAAACAATACTTACAGCCTGGCAAGAAAAATCTTGGTAGCAGCATTGAAACTAGGCTTTCTGATAGGCTACATGGAGCTAATGAGTGTCTCCATTTTAGCTGAAATGCACTCCTAATGTTCTATTTCTAATAAGCTACAAGTAATTTTGTGGCATTGTTTTTTGGAGACAGGTCTCATTCTGTCACCTGGGCTGGAGTGCAGTGGCATGGTCTTGGCTCACCACAGCCTCAAACTCCCAGGCTCAAGTGATCCTCCCACCTCAGCCTCCTGAGTAGCTGGGCCACCACATCTGGCTAATTTTAGTATTTTTTTTTTTTTTTTTTTTTTTAAGAGATGGGGCTTTACCATGTTGTCCAAGCTGGTCTCGAACCCCTGGGCTGAAGCAATCCCCTGGTGTTTGGGATTAAATGCAAGAACCACTGTAGCTGGCCTTTGTAGCATTCTTATAACTGTGTTAGGTATAACTCAGAATATGGAAATAAAACATTTTATGTACAATGTCAACATGAGTATGTGATGCTTTTTTATTTTTGATCTTACACTAACACACCAATAAAAAAAAAAATTTAAAAAGCAGCCAAAACATTCCTTTTGACTTTCTTTGGGCATTGACAGGAAGTTCAAGTTGGCCAGGTGTGGTGGCTCATGCCTGTAATCATGCTATGGGAGGCCGAGGCGGGAGGATCACAAGGTCAGGAGTTGAGACCAGCCTGGCCAATATGGTGAAAACCCATCTCTACTAAAAAATACAAAAATTAGCAGGGCATGGTGGTGCATGCCAGCAGTCCTAGCTACTCAGGAGGCTGAGGCAGGAGAACTGCTTGAATCCAGGAGGCAGAGGTTGCAGTGAGCCAAGATTGTGCCATTGCACTCTAGCCTGGGCGACAGAGTGAGACTCTGTCTCAAAAAAAGTTCAAGTCAATCTTCCAGAAAGATCAGATATATCTCATCTCAAATGAAGTTGGTTCTTACAATAGGAGACGTGATTTTAATCAGAACTATGTTAGCACCAGTCTCCATAATTTCTCTGCACAAATCTCAATTCAACTTCACCTAATTCTTGAACAAAGAAGCAAATCCAGAAAGATAAATGAGGCAGCTGAGGCAGAACTTAGAATTTATTTGTAAAACTGGTACAAGCCTAAGTTCTAGAATAAATCAGTTTCAAAACTAGCTCCCTAAGTCCAGAATAATGACTCAAGAGATTGTACTCTGCAGTGTAGCAAGTCTGGGTTTATCCAAACCAATAAATAATGCTATATTAGAATCTTGATCCAGGGATTGTGATGATGTTAGGCAATCCATGATATCCACAATTAAGTTAATAAAGCCCTCACTTTAAGAACAAGATAGGACCTGGCGCAGTGGCTCACGCCTGTAATCCCAGCACTTTAGGAGGCTGAGGCGGGTGGATCATGAGGTCAGGAGATCGAGGCCAGCCTGGCCAATATGGTGAAACCTCGTCTCTTCAAAAAATACAAAAATTAGCTGGGTGTGGTGGCATGTGCCTATAGTCCCAGCTACTCAGGAAGCTGAGGCAGGAGAATCATCTGAACCCATGAGACGGAGGTTGCAGTGAGCTGAGATCACGCCACTGCACTTCAGCCTGGGCGACAGGGTGAGACTCCGTCTAAAAAAAAAAAAAGGAACAAAATAGGATGCTTCCAGTAAGAAAGGCAAACAGTGGATTTCAAACTCTAAACACAAAAGGTCAGAGGATCGCAGAGAAACAGAAGGGAACAAAAATCTGTCTGGGGTCTAATCAGAGTCGTCAGAGCTCTCATCACTATCTTGCTCCTTTTCTCCAGCACTTAATTCCTCTTCTTCACCATCCTAAGGGAGAACAAATAAGTATTTTAGGTCACTGCTCTGGGTAATACAGCTCCCAGGGGATACACAACTGTACTATTATCACTATTAAAACTAATGATAGACTTTACACCATTTGTAAATAAATTTGTTTTTCTTGATATTAGGAACTGTAAGCCAAGACCAGAGAGGGAGATTGGTCATTTTAATACTGACTGATGCCATTTGCAACCTAACCAATTTGCATAATTTTATTTATTATTATTATCTTTCTTTTTTTACACTGTCACTCTCAGGATATATTACTATTATTTTTTGAGATAAAATTTCACTCTTGTCACCCAGGGCTGGAGCGCAGTGGGGTGATCTTGGCTCACTGCAACCTCCGCCTCCCAAGTTCAAGTGATTCTCCTGCCTCAGCCTTTCAAGTAGCTGGGATTACAGGCGAGTTCCACCATGCCCAGCTAGTTTTTGTATTTTTAGTAGAGACAGGGTTTCTCCTTGTTGGATAGGCTGGTCTCAAACTCCTGACTTCAGGTGATCCACACGCCTTGGCCTCCCGAAGTGCTGGGATTACAGGTGTGAGCCACCGTGCCAGGACCAATTTGCCTAATTTTAAACAAGCCATGGTCCTCCAGCTCTACTGCATGTATAGAATGAAATATTTATTAAAAGTGCTGGTGTGGCCAGGCGCAGAGAAAAATGGCTGTAATCCCAGCTATTTCACCTGGGAGATGCAGGTTGCAGTGAGCCAAGATTGCACCGCTGCACTCCAGCCTGGGCAACAGAGTGGGACTCCATCTCAACAACAGCAGCAGCCAAAAAAAAAAAAAAAAAAAAAAAAAAGAAAAGGGGGGGGGGGGGGGGGGGGGAGGAGGGAGGAGGAGGAGGAAGAAGGAAGAAGGAAGAAGTAGTGCTGGTGCATCTCAACAGGAATCCAGCACAAAAATTGTCTGGCTTAAAATTCTAGTATGAGAGATTTGCTTAAAGTACCAAACTAAGGATATTGCCTGCCTCAAATTCTCTAAGAAAAAGGTAGAAGGTGTATATTAAACAAACAAAACTGGAGACCATGTAAATAAAGGGCTTTTTTTTGGGACAGGGTCTCACTCTGTCATCCAGGCTGGTGTGTGATGATGGCTCATTGCAGCCTCCACCTCCTGGGCTTGAGCAACCCTCCCATCTCAGCCTCCTGAGTACAGGGACCACAGGATGCATCACCATGCCTGGCTAGTCCAAAAAAAAATTTTTTTGTAGAGATGAGATCTCAGGCTGGTCTTGAATTTTTGGGTTTAAGCAATACTCCCACTTCAGCCTCACAAAGTACTGTGATTACAGGTGGGAGCCACCCCACCAGGCCAGACTTTTTATATTAAATGATTGTTCTGCATCAGACTCAAATTGTATTACAGGGAGGCCCCACAGCAGTGGTTCTTAAATCTGAGCTTTTTGGTGTCTATAACCTACCTGAATTGTAACAAAATTTTATAAACGTACACTTTTTTTTTTTTTTTTTTTTTGAGATGGAGTCTCGCTTTATCGCCCAGACTGGAATGCAGTGGAGCAATCTCGGCTCACCACAACCTCTGCCTCCCAGGTTCCAGTGATTCTCCTGTCTCAGCCTCCCAAGTAGCTGGGACTACAGGTGCGTGCCACCATGCCCAGCTAATTTTTGTAATTTTAGTAGAGACGGGGTTTCACCATATTGGCCAGGATGGTCTCAATCTCTTGACCTCATGATCCATCCGCCTCGGCCTCCCAAAGTGCTGGGATTACAGGCGTGAGCCACCGCGCCTGGCTTTATTTTACATTTTTTTTTTTGAGACGGAGTTTCGCTCTTGTTACCCAGGCTGGAGTGCAATGGCGCGATCTCGGCTCACCGCAACCTCCGCCTCCCGGGTTCAGGCAATTCTCCTGCCTCAGCCTCCTGAGTAGCTGGGATTACAGGCACGCACCACCATGCCCAGCTAATTTTTTGTATTTTTAGTAGAGACGGGGTTTCACCATGTTGACCAGGATGGTCTCGATCTCTTGACCTCGTGATCCACCCGCCTCGGCCTCCCAAAGTGCTGGGATTACAGGCTTGAGCCACCGCGCCCGGCTTAGTTTTTTTTTTTTTTTTTTGAGATGGGGTCTTACTCTGTTGCCAGGCTAGAGTGCAGTGCAGTGGCACCATGTTGGCTCACTGCAACCTCCACTTCCCAGGTTTAAGTGATTCCCCTGCCTCAGCCTCCCGAGTAGCTGGGACCACAGGCACGTGCCACCATGCCCAGTTAATTTTTTTCTATTTTACTAGAGATGGGGTTTTATCATGCTGGCCGGGATGGTCTCGATCTCTTGACTTCATGATCCTCCCACCTGGGCCTCCCAAAGTGCTGGGATTACAGGCATGAGCCACCACGCCCGGCTTTCATTTTATGTGGAGATAGGGTCTTGTTATGTTGTTGCCCAGCTTGGTCTTAAATTCCCAGGCTCAAGCAAACCTCCTGCCCTGGCCTCCCAAAGTGCCAGGATTACAGGCATAAGCCACTGTGACAGCCATGTATACATTTTTATTTAGTTTTCTTTAAATTCTCAAAAGCATCTGTACCACAAAAAAGAGTAAGACTTCTATTTTTATTTCAGTTCTCTAAGGTGTCAGCTTCTGACTCTGCTTTGGCTTTCAGATTTCTATTTTTGTATGTTTCAAATGTGTTTAAATGGTTTAACTCATTCTTCTCAACCCTCAGTAAATACTTTAATGACTTCTTTTCTCCCTTCTAAAATGGTTTCAGATATGAATTCATGGAAAATGAGAGGCTATAATGTAGAGAATTGTCAACTCCGTAATAAATGCCATAACTTGAGATACTCAGGAGCGATTCTAAGATTGTGTGGTTGTTTTTTCTGGGTCCCACAAAAATTATATAAGCACAGAAGCTTTTATGGAGGGAATGAAAATGGGATAGAAGTATTTGATATAAACATAAGTAGGCAAAGTTCTACTCCACCAACTTAGAACAATTAACAAAATGCAACCATCAGTGCCAGACTTTGGTGCCTTTTGCAGAGATACCTCAGTGGCTTTACTCTTGGAGACCTGGGATGATACCTCATCCTCACTCTCATCTGCTGTGCTCTCCTGGGAATTTTGGGAAATAATCTCTTCACCCTAAATGTGAATGGACAAAGAAAAATTGTGGGTTATAATGATCACATTTAGGGATCAGGAGAGAAGGCTGAGTTTATAGGCAATACAAAGGAAGATATTTTAGCCATTCCAAACACAGTCAAACATGGATACCGACTTGTGATTCAGTATCTAGAGAAGGGACACTCAACTCCAGGTTTCTGAGATGCCTGTGGCTCTGACACAGTAATGGAACAAAAGGTTCATCTTTGTATGCTAGTATCACAACTAGATTTTACAAGGCTAGATTGTATTGGTGACTCTAAGTTATTGCTGAACATAGTTCTAAAATTTCCCAAATACCTTAAGGTATATAAGCACCATCACACCAACCACGAATGGCCATGCGGAGGCTAAAGGGCAGTACCGTGAAGTGGTTTAAGAACATCAACTCTGGATTAGGACTGTTTGGACTCAAACCCTGACTCCACGCATTTATTGCTGAATAACAGTAGGTAAATTATTTAACTTCTAGCTTCAATTTTCATACAGAAACAACAGTATCTACCTCAAAAGGCTGATGTGAAGAAAGGAAGCTAATTCTCTGTGGTGCTATTTTATATCTTTCATATATAACTTACTAGAAAACTCAGATACTATAAGCATGAAAGAAAAGGGCTTATATTACCTTATCTGAAAAATGCTGTAACTCCAAAGTAGTAGCATAAGTAACACAAGATTTCAGCTAATCAGACAAGTGAAATGCTCATTAGTTAAAATTAGAGATTAATTTGTAATTTCAGGAATAAGACAGACTGGCTTAGGGGAAAAAAATAACTAAACAAAAGAAGTGTTTGTCCCTATACAAAAATGTTATTATGAATCTACCCTCAGTGGGGCTTAAAGGAGCCCCTCTGGCTATGGAGAGAGGTTTTTGCTCTGGCTCCTTTATCTCAGAGCCACTGTTTATATCAATGGCATGTTTTGGTGCCTTGCTACCTAAGACAAGGAGTGCAGCCTGCCTTACATACCATTTGATGTTATCACAAAGAATGACAGTGGGGGATTGTCACTGGCAGGGCCCAAGGCTTACCTGCAAGTCCCGATTTTTTAGATTGCCTAGCCAGAAAGCCTCTCTACAGTTGTTGAGGGTGAGCATAGCTTTGACTCTGCAAACTAACAGTTCCAGGGTCTTTTTGAGCAGAGGCACATGTTGGGTGAGTCTTGTGTCCTGGTGAATCTGGATGGAAACAAACAACATCTGTCTTTTGTGAGTTTATTATCATGCCTTCACATTTCCTATAGATACTTTTGAATATTGAATAAGAACGTTAAGTCCTGCCAACATGGGCCAAAGGTATGTTCCATCAAACAGGAGTAGTTTGGCAGACTAATCCAAAGAGAATGGTAGCTAAAGAATTGAAAGCCTAGAAAACATACTACCAATACCTCTAGTTCCTCTTCATAAGCTCTTACTGGTCGATCATTAATGAATTTACCTAAAATGTTCTTGAATATATATTATACCGATATTAAACAATAGAGAGTAGCCCTGTTTAAGAGAAAACTTAAAAATTCACTTTTCAGGCCTGGCATGGTGGCTCACGCCTGTAATCTCAGCACTTTGGGAGGCTGAGGCGGGCGGATCACAAAGTCAGAAGTTCAAGATCAGCATAGCCAAGATGGTGAAACCCCGTCTCTACTAAAAATACAAAAATTAGCCAGGCATGGTAGAGGGCACCTGTAATCCCAGCTACTCAGGAGGCTGAGGCAGGAGAATCGCTTGAATCTGGGAGGCGGAGGTTGCAGTGAGCAGAGACCGCGCCATTGCACTCCAGCCTGGGCAACAGAGTGAGACTATGTCTCAAAAAGAAAAAAAAAATCACTGTTCAACACCTTCTAAATTTAAGAATAAGGGTAGAAAGTAAGTAACAGAAACTGGACTGAAGAATCCTCTGGTCTGCCAATGACTGTAGAACTTTCAGGTTCTGTGTTCATTCAGACAAAACGTGACAATACTCCATCAACTATAAGAAGGCTTCAAGTGGAAAAATCCTTTAATGCTAAGATGTTCTCATAAGACATAGATGCATTCCTTTAAAGTAGCACAGATGAAAGTCTCTAAAGATGGCTGCTTTAGAGCCACCTCCTGCCTCCTGCAGAGTCATCACTTATAACACAGACTTCCCACCTAGAGGACTGTGTAGAAGTAAACATATACCAGCATTCTATTTCTCTCACCCAGGAAGTTTCTAGGAGAAAAAGAGCTTTGGAGTGTGAGTCACATTTCAGATGCAAAAATTCCCCTCTAGAGGACTGCCCAATCTCAAGCAGCAACTAAGGACATGCTCTGAATAAACTGCCTTTGGTTTTACACACACACACCCACGCACACATACCACACAAAAACCTGCCTCTGGACAGACACATTCCCAGATATAAAGGAAGCAGGACAGTAGCCCATGGATACTCGAATAACAACTGCAGATTAAGCCAAAAGGCAGGCTGCTCATAGGACCTGCTCCCCTTCTTACCTTGGAATGCCCACACAGGTGATGAAGCAGCCTTGTGTCCAACTGGAAGGTTTCCAATAAGCTCAGCACATCTTCCTATAACCAATAAGTTTATATATGCTCTATGAAATTATCACAGATGCAAGATACCCTTGCAATCAAAAGCTCCAAAAAGGATAAACTCTGCAGGTTCCAGCCTATGCTGATAATCATCTTAATTTGGTCCTCAAGTAGGAAGAATGGAGGCTACCCCTTATTCTCAACTCTCCCACTTCTGTCCCTTGTATAAATCTGAGAGTTGTAAGACCTGCATTTCAGTTTTACATAGGTTATCATGTCTGTTTTCCCTTATGCAACATTAGGATAAAATAACACCTCCCCTTTCTCTTTCAGAGCTATGAGGGATCAACCAAATATGGTGAATGTTTTGTTCAATTTGTTAAATATGTATTGGAAATGATCTGTTTCTGCCCTTACTTCACCACTCTAGTCCTGGTTGTCACTGGCTAAAAAAGTGTCAGGACTGTTCATTACCACAGCAAAGGGTTTATGACACAAATGAGTTTTTTTTGTGTGTTTTAATCTACAGAAGCATAAAGGAATAAGCAAATGACACAGTGATACATGACATCCTGAGAGTACAGTAGCACAATAAAATCGTGCTGAAAGGAAAACCACCGTCAGATTTGGAGAAGTAGAAAGGTGGGTCTGATCCAGAGTGAGTCTCAGTAGTTCAGCCTACTTTGGAATATTCAGTCCTATTTGGGCATCTCTGGCTGTAGCTGAAGTAGACCAGAGGAGCCCAGGTAGAACACTCCCAGCCTCACCCAGGAGTCACCATGGACATATCTTCTAAGCAACTCTTCAGTGCATATCTTTGTTGTCTGCTCTTAGCTCTTACCCGGTGTTTTCTAAAACTGAAGTCTAGCAGCGGCATACATTGCTTCAGAAATGCTTCCACAAAGAGACGTCCGTACTGAAGAAGAGAGACACACCATTATCTCTAGCTGAGGTCTCTCACTGGAAGGCCCCTTTTTGAGGCAGAACAGCCTCATCCAGCCCAAGGGCTTTATTTTCTTATTTATATATATAAAAAACAAACTGGGAAGGGTCCAAAAGGTTTATTTGGAGAATGTAACTTAACACAAAAATCAAATAGGCCTGTTAACTAAGCCCCCAGAATTAGGCAGACTTATCTACCACAGATACGGTCAATGGACAGGGAACTTGCTCAGCTTAGGAGTGAGAGCATAGAGCAGAGGGGAGCTCTATCTGAGGGTAACTTACTCCCAAGAGGGAAAAACTGGGTAAAGCTAAGGAAGCAAATGACCAATTTCCAAATTTCCCAATCAGATAAATCACTCCTCTCTCCAACTCACCCATCTCCCACACTAAACAGGACAGAGTAACAAGGGAGAGAGAGACTAGTAGATAACAAGAATGGGGCACCATCCATTTGAATGGAAGCTTCAGGAGTGGGGAAGTAGCATTCTCCCCATAACATTCCGACTGGGCTTCCCATCAAATCTAGGGCTAATACAGGCTATTCCCACGCAAGAGAAGTTTGCAGTTATCAGGATATCAGATCCCACATTTGTAAGGCCACCACACAGACTTTAAAGAAGTATCATCCACTCCTCTTTCCTTCATGTTGCCTGATAAGGAATGGCAGGGAAAGTAACTACTGCTCCTAAACTTTAATTTTCTTATTTATAATCAAATGGATTTTTGATTCCATTTGAAGTCATCCCTCCTATTACTAAGATTCTTACCAAAAGTTTTCAAATTCATAGGAAAACTGGCTTCTCCAATCATCTATCTAGGGTAGGAAAATGTATCCATTGTCTTCCCTACACTGGCATAGATTCTGGAAACTCTGGCATATGGGCAAGACATTGAGGAATTTATCTCAGCTGAGGTCCTCTCTAGAGTGATCCACAGGAAGAATAAATATGTAATAGGGACCCGTAAGTCTCTCACCTTCAAACATACATGCAGAACAGGATGACTATCAAATACCTGAAGAGGTGAAAGAAAAGAAACCAAGGCTGAGATCTGCTCCTTTGGGCACTCCAGCCTCTTTCCCACTGCACAAAGCACAGCTTTGGGTGCTGTAGAGAATTCTAAAATGGAGGGATGTCAACATTTAAATTAATATTACAAAGCAGAATAAAGTAATCATCACAACTGAAGTTCAAGAAAAGAAAGAGACAAGCAAAGAGAAACAAACTGATTCTAACTGGGGGTGTTGAGAAGATGGCATTATTCAAAGTCCAAAACCTTGATCTGAAGACTTAAGAAAGACTCAATGAGGCTAGGCATGCTGGCTCATGCCTGTAATCCCAGCATTTTGGGAGGCTGAGGCTGGTGGATCACTTGAGCTTAGGAGTTCGGGGCCAGCCTGGGCAACAGAATAAGACTCTGTCTCTACAAAAAATAAAACATTAGCTGGGTGTGGTTGCATGTGCCTGTAGTCCCAGCTACTCCAGAGGCTGAGGTGGGAAGATTCTTGAGCCTAGGAGGTTGAGGCTGCAGTGAGCTGTGATCACCCTACTGCATTCTAGCCTGGGCAAGAGTGAGACCCTGCCTCAGGAAAAAAAAAAAAAAAAAAAAGAAAAAGAAAAAAAGGGCATGAAAGAGGTGGAGGTGGGAAAGAAAGGACACTTCAGGCTGGGGGCATAAGTAGAGCAAAACCATGATTGAGTGGGTGAGAGTACAGTGTGTTTAAAGAAGATCGAGGGCATTCAGGATTAGAAGAGGGAATATGTGCTCAGATCATAGATGACCCAAGGCAAGATGAAAAAGTGAGGGAATTATAGACAGAAGGAGTCATTAAATAATGCCTACTGGCCGGGTGTGGTGGCTCAAGCCTGAAATTCCAGCACTTTGGGAGGCCGAGGTGGGCGGATCACCTGAGCTCAGGAGTTTAACACCAGCCTGGCCAACATGATAAAACCCTGTCTCTGCAAAAAATACAAAAAATTAGTCAGGCATGGTGGAAGACGCCTGTAATCCCAGCTACTTGGGAAGCTGAGGCAGGAGAATCGCTTGAACCTGGGAAAAAGGAGGTTGTAGTGGGCCGAAATCAGGCCACTGCACTCCAGCCTCAGTGATAGAGTAAGATTCCATCTCAAAAAATAAATAGATAAATAAATAATAATAATGCCTACTAAGAAAAGGGGTTATCCAGGATGAGTAGGGGGACAAAGGAAGACGACGACTCAGGGAGAGCAGGCCCCAAGGAAGAGTGGGAAGAGGAGCAGGGAGAGTCCATTCTGGAAGCCAGGACACTTGGTTTCTGCAGTGATTTGGTGAGATGGGTTAAGGAACCTCCATACTCACCTTTATCAAGTTGATGAGGATACTGAAGTCTCGAACAGCCATGTTCCAGTAGAGGAGCTTCTTTTCATGAATCTGGAGCAGCCAAATATATGGGCACCTCTGAGTCACAGCCAAATACTTCCCTTACTATAGTCCCACTAAGATACAGTTCTTGAATTACTTAGCTATTCTGAGATTTAAGCCAATTATCCTTCCAAAGAGATGTAGCACCAGTGCATCCACAAGATGGTTCTGAGGCCTGCACATGTTGTAGTAACATTAGAATACCTCATAGATACAGACTTTCTAAAAAGTTTCCTCTTCAGCAATTCCCAAGTGGGTAAAAGCCATTGCAACACATACTGGCCATTCATGCCTGTAATCCCAGCACTTCGGGAGGCTGGGGTGGGAGGACTGCTTGAGCCAAAAGTTTGAAACCAGCCTGAGCAACACGGCGAAACTCCACCTCTACTAAAAATAGAAAAACTAGCTGGGCATGGTGGCGTGCACTTGCGGTCCCAGCTATTCGGGAGGCTGAGGTAGGAGGGGCTGAGGTAGGAGTATCACCTGAGCCCAGAAGATAAAGATTGCAATGAACCAAGTTCATACCACTACACTCCAACCTGAATGTCAGACTCATACCCTGTCTTAAAAAAAAAAAAGAAAAACCGGCCAGGCGTGGTGGCTCACGCCTGTAATCCAAGCACTCTGGAGGCCAAGGCGGGCGGATCACCTGAGGTGGAGAGTTCAAGACCAGCCTGACCAACATGGTGAAACCCTGTCTTTAAAAAAAAAAAAAAAAAGAAGAAGAAAAGAAAAAACATATACTGGCTATAGCTTCTCTGCTTCCCTATGCTAGCCCTTTGTTACTAGTCTAGCACCGTTCTGGTTAGCAGGCTGCCAAGATCCACAGTATCTCAAACAGGCTGACTTACCTCATGCCAGTTAGCAGGAGGCAAAATGAACAGTAGCCAAGGAAAAGAGAGCCCATTCCTCACCTCCAACTAGAGGGAAAGGAAATTAAACTAGGAACTCTTTGGGAAAAACCCTAAATCTCAGAAAGTCAAAACAAAACAAAAACATAAAACAGCTTGGGAGAAAACTTGGATGCAAGAAACAGAAGAATCAGCAACTTCCAAGTAATCCAGAGTCTACTTCTTGGGGTGGCTGTATCTTACTCACCTGCTGCGAGTCTGCTGCCGTGCCAGGCTCAATTTTTTTCACTGTCTTCTCTAGTTCAGCCATCATCACACGGAAGAAAACAACAAAACTGTGCCTAGAAGAGGGGAAAAGGATGCGTGCCCACATCATGATGCACTGCTTAGAACTAACTGGGAAGAATCAGGAACCAAAAGTAGCTTCCTTCCCTACCTCTCTAAATGTCCTTTCTCTAGGGTCCTTTCTAAGAGGATGGAGGAGGGAAAAGGATTCAGTAATAAGCCTAAGAAGATGGCCTGTCAAACAATGGAGTTAACTTTATGAAAGGAAGTAGTATGGTAGTATGGAAAAAGCAGTGAAGTAACAGTGAGAAGGTCTGAGTTTGAGTCCTGGTTCTATGTCTATTTTATTCCATGTGTAAGCTTGAGAAGTTCCCTAGCTCTCATTTTCCTCAGCAATAAAATAGGGGCAATGATACCAACCTCACAGAATTATCAAAGGATCAACTGAGATAAAATGAAAGTGCTTTATAAACTGAAAAGGCTACAAGTGTTAAGATAACTATTGGTATTCTGAGACACAAACCCATTAAGTGAGACATACATGTGATCACCCAGTTCTCAAGATGGTTAAAATATTGGAATAATCTCAAATTTAAGGATTAAAGTATGGATAGGAGAAGTTTGGTGACTAAACCTAAATGTTCATTGCCTTTGAAGACTGTAAATTCATTCCTCAACAAGATCCTCTCAGTTGCTCATGCCTATAATCCCAGCACTTTGGCAGGCCAAGGCAGGCAGATCACCAGAGGCCGGGTTCAAGACTTGCCTGGCCAACATGGTAAAACCCCATCTCTACTGAAAATACAAAAATTAGCTGGGTATGGTGGCGGGCGCCTGTAATCCCAGCTACTTGAAAGACTGGGGCAGGTGAATCGCTTGAACCCAGGAGGCGGAGGTTGCAGTGAGCCGAGATCGTGCCACTGCACTCCAGCCTGGGTGACAAGAGTTTTCTCAAAACAAACAAACAAACAAACCCACCCCTCCCACCCCCTAAAACCCACCAAGGTCCTCTGACATGTATTAGCTGACAGCCCTTGAAAGGAATGCATAGCAGGCTCTCCTTATTGAATGAATGATTATATCTACCACGTATATCAGAATTAGGTGAGGAGGAGTAAGGCAGTTGCACGGAAGCTACAAACACTGGACAGTGTGATTATGATTTTTTTTTTTTTTTTTTTGAGACAGTTTCGCTCTTGTTGCTCAGGCTGGAGTACAATGGTATGATCCTGGCTCACTGCAACCTCCCTCTGTTCCTGGGTTCAAGCAATTCTTCTGCCTTAGCCTCCTGAGTAGCTGGGATTATAGGCATGTGCCACCACACCTGGCTGTTTTGTATTTTTAGTAGAGACAGGGTTTCACCATGTTGTCCAGGCTGGTTTCAAACTCCTGACCTCAGGTGATCTGCCTGCCTCAGCCTCCCAAAGTGCTGGGATTACAGGCGTGAGCCACTGTGCCTGGCTTGATAATGATTCTATCTTACAGAAAAAACTGGAGGAGATAACTCCCTTACCTGGTCAGTGTAGGGAATGTAGAAGACGATGCATCTTTAGGAGAGTTGATCAGTTCTGGGACACCAACACCAGCAATCTCCTCTATTGCCTTCAGAACGCTATCTGTGTGCTCCAGGTAGATACTGCATTGAGAGTCAAATGTTTGACCCATTGATTAACAAAGTAGAAAACAACTGCAGATTCCTCTAATTCCTTTATGATCTGAATTAACAATAAGCAGTAGCTAACAGTATAAAACAGAACTAGAGAATCTTAAGATCCACGTATTCCAAATTATGTTCATTTTTAACCTACCAGTGTTTTCAAATTCCACTAAAAAAGGTCATTTGTCAGTCTCTGACAAACAACAGTAGCAAAATAGAAAAACGTTATTTGGCTCATTGGAAGAAACCAAACATCTTACCAGAGCAAAGCATGGAGCTGGTCATTAGAGATGTGGCTCTTTTCTTTCTCCCCACTTGGCCACACCCGACAGAGGAACAGTCTGGCCAGGGAAGCTGTTAGAAAAGACAAATAAAATCTTACATATGGGAACTTGACCTCACTTTTGCTTTTCAGGCTTTTACAATATGATTATTGGTCAAAGGGATTATTAGTTTAGATTTACTAAGAAGTTCCCAGTCTAACAAGCAATTTATAAAAAGCTGTCATGTTCCTGCTCCACTGGCCCTTCTGTCAGACATAAACTCATTTGTCTAAGGCCCAACATGTCCTACCCCAACACCATCCTGAAACGTAAACATGCAAACATGAACATAAATACAGACACACAGATAAACGGAATGCTGCTGGGCAGTGGGAAGGCCAATCTTGTTCCTCCTGGGCTGGCCAACAGCAGTGGTCACCTCCAAGATTCAGACCAAAGCTTCCCCTTTTAATTAATAGGGAAACATAAAGGTTTGTTTTGCATTTTTATCTGGCTTTCTGATGTGATGCCAACTAGGATGAGCTGCCTTCTATGAGCTATAATAAAAGACAGTTAAAGAAAAAGGCCAGGGAAGAGGCTAGTATTTCTTTTACACTTGACCCTGATATCCTCTTTTACTCCAACTCTATTAACTTCATAGTTTATATCTCTTTTTGTTAAATGTCTCAGATAATTTTTTTTTTTTTTAGAAAGGAAAAACATGACTAAACTTAAGCCAAAGAGAAAACTATCTGAATAGCTTGTCTAATCAAATTCAGACTAAGCAATGTTAATAGCAATCAGTCAGGTTGTTCTGGGAAAATGACCTTCTTGGAATAGCAAGAGGGCCTGTCCAAGGTTATACGGGGATTGACATGTAAAAATGTCCTGGGAAGCCCCAAGTTTACAAGTGTGAGATATTAATCCTATTCATTTAAAAAAAAAAAAAAAAAGGATCTGGGCCCATCACCAATTTTTTCTTTGTTCTGAGTGGAAGCTGTTGATTTCTCCAAAATAACCATCAAAAGTCTGATGAGATAAAGAGCACACTGGAAACTGGGAATGCTTTGATGGAAATTCTGCAAATAATGGAAGCTCTGGCTGTAAGGAGAAAAGAAAAACAAACAAATGCAATAGTATCCTATGTATTACAGAGATACTTAAATCCACATGACATGCTCAGGTCCCTTTTCAGTGTTTGATGGCCTAATCACAATCCTCCTTATTTTCAGGTGCTTTAGTACCAACCTTTTTTCAAGGATCTTGGTAGAAAACCATATCTTTGTATGGAAAAAGCCAGGGCAGAAGATTGCCCCATGAATGGAATGTTGGCCTTGAAGGGGTCATGTATGCCAAGAAACCCAAACAGCATGCTAATATGTACAACCCTAGATAAATTATCTGCTCTTTAAACCCTTAGGCAATACACTGAAAAAAATTTTTTTTTTCCAGATGGATATTCGCTCTCATTGCCCAGGCTGGAGTGCAATGGTGCGATCTTAGCTCACTGCAACCTCCGCCTCCCACCTTCCAGCGATTCTCCTGCCTCAGCCTCTTGAGTAGCTGGGATTATAGGCATGCACCACCACGGTCAGCTAATTTTTTGTATTTTTAGTAGACATAGGGTTTTACTATGTTGGCTAGGCTGGTCTTGAACTCCTGACCTCTGGCAATCCACCAGCCTTGTCCTCCCGAAGTGCTGGGATTACAGGCGTGAGCCACTGGCTTGGCCAATAATTTAAAAAATCTGGGTTCACAGGCCGGGCATGGTGGCTCAGGCCTATAATCCTAGCACTTTGGTAGGCTGAAACCAGTAGATCACCTGAGCTCAGGAGTTAGAGACCAGCCTGGCCACGTGGTGAAACCATCTCTACAAAAATACAAAAAATTAGAAGGGCGTGGCAGCATGCGCCTGTAATTCTACCTACTTGGGAGGTTGAGGCAGGAGAATCACTTAAACCCACAAGGTGGAGGTTGCAGTGGGCCAAGATCACTCCAGCCTCGGTGACAGTGCGAGACTCTTCCTAGAAAAAAAAAAAAAAAAGAAAAGAAAAAAAAGAAGCAAAGAAATAAGGTCCTGACCTATAGACAGGGACGATAAGCAATGATAACCCAGTGATGGTCTAGGATATCAAGGGAAGTGAGAGAAGAGCCAAGTCACTCTGACATAAGGGAGAGGGGGCTGAAAGCCATGCCCCTGAGATCATCTCGCCTCCCTTGTTCACTGCCTACCCCTCAGCCATATAAGGTCTTCCTACAAGACAAGGGCAAAGAAACAGGCTATTAGTGATAAGTAGCTGTTGCCTAATTACCCATCCCTGCTGGGAGACAGTAAATCAAGAGTTGATTACAGATGGTCAATGTTTTCATCATTATTACTTGAAAAGGCTGAGTTTACGGGCTGATGCATGCATGAAGATTAAGCCTGATTATTCAAGGTTTCTAATACTTCAAGATTTATCAGAATACATAGATGAGAAAGCTCACATATGAGGAGAATGGCTGAAAATAATTTCCTTTACAACTACTGAAAGACACCCAGGTTATTTTAAAGAAAGTTGCCAATCCTGTTCCTAGGGTTTTCTTGGGACAACAATCTTGGTTATGCAGTCTGACTCACCTGAGCAGTTCCTCCAAAGGCTGGTTGTGTTCTCCCTGCTTTAGTCGGCTACTAAGGACACAGAGGGCTGAGTACAGTAAATTCTGATTTTCAGGTTGAGAAAGTCCACTCCTAAGGAGGTCAAGGTAAGAGGGGTTAGCTCAGTTTCTGGAAAACTACTTGGATAGTATTTAAGGATCTAGGCCTCCAGTCTGTACCATCAATAGTTCATCAGTTTGAAAAAAGAATTGAGAGGCCGGGCGCTATGGCTCATGCCTATAATCCTAGCACCCTGGGAGGCCAAGGTGGGCGAATCATGAGGTCAAGAGATCGAGACCATCTTGGCCAACATGGTGAAACTCCATATCTACTAAAAATACAAAAATTAGCCAGACGTGGTGGTGTGCGCCTATAGTCCCAGCTACTCAGGAGGCTGAGGCAGAAGAATCACTTGAATCTGGGAGGCGAAAGTTGTGGTGAGCCGAGATTGCGCCACTGCACTCCAGCCTGGCGGCAACAGAGCAAGACTTTGTCTCCAAAAAAAAAAAAAAGAATCAAAAGTACTGAAGTACCAAATTCAATCACAGCTCTAAGTATCAGATTAGAAATTGAAGTGCATCCAAAATAATCTTTCCTGAAGTTTATTTTCAAAGGCAAAAAGCTTACATTTTAGAGATGTGTAGTTTTCTTCAAAACATAGAATTAATTTTGTCAAACTGCTAAAACAATGTCCAGCCCATAGTGGTACTTACCCCTTCTCCTACATTAATGAGTCAAAGCTTGACATTTCTATCTTTGGATTACCTTTCATACTGTTCCTTCCTTTTCAATCCCAGACCATCATTTTGGCCAGGCCCCATCAGCACATGTGTAGATCACAGTGACAACTTTTTTTTTTTTTTTTTTTTTTTTGAGACTGAGTCTTGCTCTGTTGCCCAGGCTGGAGTGCAGTGGTGCAATCTTGGCTCACTGCAACCTCCACTTCCTGGGTTCAAGTGATTCTCCTGCCTTAGCCTGAATAGCTGCGACTACGGGGGCATGCCACCACATCCAGCTAATTTTTGTATTTTTAGTAGAGATGGAGTTT